TGTCTCTGGAATTCTTGGGATTCACAGAAAGTTTTATAAAATGAGAAACAACTACTCACTCTCTGGGGAGACCAGTTAGAAGCCAAAACCAGCTCATCCTTTCCTCTGGCCATGCTCTACAAATGTAGTAGGAAGCTTTATTCCATCTGAATAGACTGTGAAACAGATATGCAAAAGAAGGGGGTGGGTTGGGAAGGGAAGGCAGAAAAGATTTCATCTCGAGGAAAAACAAGCTGCAAATAATTATTGTCAAAATAATTTTTCCATTTTATTTAACAAGATGATCCTGAATGTACACATGTGGCTTATGAACACAGTGTCAAATATCTATTTCCATCTTCACTTTACTCTAATAGTTACTAAGTACATTTAGACATGGTTTGACAAGAGAACACGAACATGCTTCAGCTGGTTCAGTGTGACTGCGGTATTAGCCGATTTCCCGTGTTTGTGGGGGCGTGTTAGGTGGGCACGAGCAGTCCACATTCCCAGGGCACTCAGGCCAGACTCTCACAAAACAAGTGCTCATGTGCAATGGAAACATGTGGATCACCACAAACCGGCATTCCTTGATGGGGTTGTTCATTTTGGATACATTTCCACACCCAGAAACACCCTTTTTTGGTTGCTGTTATACAACATTATCTACTTTCCTTCACTCTAATGTGTGAAATCAAATGTCTTTGTTGGAGGCAAGAAAACGCAGAGTCACAGAAGCACTGGTTTTTTTAACAAGATCTGAAAAGGGCTAAGTACCACCACTGGTGACTCTGTGAAAAGATCCACAGTCTTTAAAAACGGCAAGGTCCCTCCAGTGTTACAAATTGCAAATGATTTTGCTAAAACACTGCTGGATTTTATAGTCTGTTGATGAGTGCAGTAAGCAGTCATATGTAAAATTCCTTTCTATGAAAGTATCTTTTACTTCAACAATGTAAATTCCAAAGAATACCACAAAATTTACTAAGAGTTCTGGGGAAAGTATTTACCACTCTTTCAGACCAAAAAATTACATGCAGGAAAGAAGTTATTCACTTTGAGACTGATTCCTTGGAGAAATCACTAAATTAATATATATATATTATATATCTTTTTCATTTATAGCATAATGGGTCCAATTACAAACAGATTTTTCCAACTGGGTATCTGAATTGGTGGGTCATTGAAGGCAATGAATAAGATCAGAGGGGAAGCACCCAGTTTTGGGGGATGAAAGACCCCCATTACATTCTGTCTCCATTCACTGAGCAGCAATCCTGTCCCTCACATCCTGACATTTGCCTCTCACAGTAAAATGATAGTGTCAGCTCATTAGAGTGACATTTACTGATGAAATGTTTTCTGAAAACACGGGCACTTCAGTTAAAACTGTCCTATTTACAAATCAGTAAACATGCCAAGGAGCTCGCAGCATGCCTACAAGGTACAAATATACAAAGTTATGGCAAAGTTATGAAAAGACTTCCTAAAGTAACAGGAAATTTTGGTGCAAAAAGAGAGAGATGAAAATACAGGCCATACATTGTAAAGGAGCCATATTTAGGGGAAGGTACTGTTCGAAAAAGCACAGAAGACTCTTTTATCCAAGAGAGAATCACAAACATAAAAATAAAATATTTGGTATTCTACACTATATTACAAAAATAAATATATCCATCAATAAATAGTAGGAAGCCTAGAAACTTTTACATGAATATTTGGGTTGTTGGCTGCCAAAGTCCCTCTGCTATCTTTCTCCTCGAAAGTCATTTAGGTTTATCAACTTCTATGATGATAATTCTGCCATAAAAGTATAAAAAAAGACTGGTGTGGGACATAGCAAAGGTCTATGACCAGAAAAGACAGTAGTGAGTTGTACTTTCCTATGGGTCTGACAACTTCCTGGCTTTGTATCAATGCAGTGATGTAGAGAGGTTGCAAACATGAATCAGGAGGTCTAAGGGGATATGGCAAGACTCCTCTACCTATGGTCAGTGTCTCTTCATTTTTTGATGAGAAGAAAGAAAAAAAAATACATTTGAATAAGCAATAAACGGCTTTCTGCACTCTCTTTCTGTAGGGTAGAAGAAAATCTTAGAAACGCATGTTTACATCCGGACTGCAGTAAAAAGAGAAACAGCTGGCATATGCAGCCTGATTGCCTACAGCCTAGATTTTCACACCTCTTTAATGGAAGAGTGATTATGAGGGCTCATGACAAACTTCTCCAGGAACCCGGAAGAGCCAGCGGAGAGGATGAGAAAAGCAGAGCCTGGCACCTCACACCATCCGTGTTGTATTATCTGTGCGCTAACAGCAGAGGGTACCAGAGCTGGCACGCATGACTCCTGAGAACCTGCTGTTAGGTTTATGGGAATTTTGTGAGCCAATTGACAACACACTGGTGTCTTGAAATAGGCCATAGTGGTGGTGGTGGCGGGGGGGGGGTGTTTTTATACCATCAAAACCATCAAATCAGAGCTATTCCCTCCCACCACTCCCATCCTTACCACTGCTGATTATAAATTATTCACCAGCATATGACTCCTATGTATTTTACATATAAAGAAAATCTTGGTTGGTTTTTATCTAACTATAACAATCCTGTTCAACCAAGGTTTTACCATGTCTATTACAGTGTCCTTTAGAAGTACTATAGAGTATATGAGTAAATGGTGTGTACCATGAATGTAAAGGATGGACCCCTTCTCACAGAGGGTACTAAGCTTGGCTATATAAAGCCAGTTACACACACACACACACACACCCACACACACACACACAAGCACACCATTTTAGGTAGGAGGCATTCCATCACTGAATAATTCTGAGTTGCCTAGCTGTCTCAAATTGTCAGTCACCATATACCCACTGATGGCCAAAACTCCATTCTTCCAGGGCCAATGAATTCTCCAGGACTCATCCTCTGGACACCAGCAGACAATGGATGTGCAGAGTTGAGGTCCAAATTCGGCAAGATGTCCTTCAAAATAGCTTCCCTTGCCTCTATTTTCTAGTGCAAGATGAGATTATGAACCCAGAGTTTTGTCAAAGGAAGGCTGATGGCTTCCCAGCGTTTTTTTTTTTTAAAGTGCAAAACTTCTTAAAGAAGTATTCAGTTGGATGAGGGTGGGGGAACCACATTTCCAGTTCTAGCTTGGACCATCCCTGTTGTCTGCCTGAAGGAGTCGGAACAATTCTGTTATGGTTCGGCCTGCACAGCACCTGCCGTCCTGCACGAGGGGCACTGGGACCAAAGTCAGAGTCTCAAGTATCCTTCCAACTGGCCAACTACTGGGCAGACCTCCCAGACCACTCCCATCAGAGACACCTTCCCAGTCCCTTCATCCTGGCAAAATGAAGACTGCAGAGGGAGAAGGAAGGGAAGGCACAGGGTTTCTACCATAGCTGATTTCCAAATTCCAGCTTGGCTTCCGAGTCATTTGGTTGTGTGTCTGTTTATTAACTCCTCTGTTTAAGTGTATTCATTTTGACTCTGGTTCTCTTTTTCTTACACTTTGGTATTCTTCATGAACAAAAATCTTATATATTAGCAACTCAACTAAGTAAAATATCAGGGGGAAATCCAGACATAAAGCACTAACTCCTTCTATCCTAAGAGCAAATACTTTTCAGGTGTCCTCTTTCAGTTCATAGCAGGGGCAATGAAGGCCAGAGAAGACGGGGGACACAGGAATGAAACAAGGACACGGTGCTGGGGCAGAAAGAGAGACGGGAGTGAAAAGGTGGGAAAAGCAAGAGCAGAAGTTCAGAGGCAAAGGAGAAGATGTGAAGAGAAGAGTAAGAAGTGAAGAGTCCAACAAACAGATCCCTTCTGATATTTCCTTCTCTTGGTCTCTTAGTCTTTGATAATTTTGTTTTGTCCAAATTATTTAACTATCCAATTAGACCTGCTTATACAGTTACAAGGCTTCCCTGGTGGCTCAAGAGGGTAAAGCGTCTGCCTTCAATGCGGGAGACTCAGGTTCGATCCTTGGGTCGGGAAGATCCCCTGGAGAAGGAAATGGCAACCCACTCCAGTACTCTTGCCTGGAGAACCCCACAGACGGAGGAGCCTGGTGGGCTACAGTCCATGGGGTCGCAAAGAGACGGACATGACTGAGCGGCTTCACTTTCACTTTCACACAGTTGCAAACAGTCCTGGGATATCTCTCTTCTTTGCCCCTCCTCCCCTAGGAGCCTCTCCCACCTCCCGCACCCTCTGCAGCCGTAAAGGCCAACGCGCAAGGCCTTGAATTTTCTATCACGTCAGGAACAGACGAAGTCCCCTGCTTTCCTGGCAAGTCACCACCTTCAAAAGCACACTAGTCTCCCATGGGCTCCTTCCTTGCTATTGTCCCTTAAGGCCACTGTCCCTTGAAGCCCTTTGGCTTCTGTATCAAACATCCCCTCCCCTCAAATGTTGCAGCCTCTTTACCAGGCCTTGCTGCTCTGAGTAATGATGGAAATTCAACTCGCCAAAGCTGCATCTAGATTTCCAAGAGTATTGAAGAGATGTAATAGCTCCTAGGATGGTTAAATTCCTGGTGCAAATTATCTTGATGTAAATCTTACTCATTGAAGAGGTCACCGAGACCTTCCCACTGGCTTTTAATATATACACATTTGATGGTGCATGTGAGTAGAATCTGCCTCTATAGACCCAAAAGGGTTGATAAGCTTATCTATGTACACATATACATACACAAATATCTACCTCCCTCGACACTGTATTTCTGCTTAGTGGTGTTCCTTTCGAATCAACATAGAAGGCAAGTAGTGTGGGCTTGCCCCTTGCTGTTAGAGATGGCATTGCCAGGACATGGTAAGTCCAAAGAAAAATAGATTGGAAGGGACTCGACTGTAGAGTAAAACATGGATTTCCTACAACAAACTGACCTGTCAAATTCCCTAAGGCAGCAAGCCTCTATGATCTGTACACCCTTATTAAATAATCTCATTAAATAGGAACACAAAATATACACATTTACAGTTATTAAATAAGCCACAGTATTCCTATCCTATCTACAGCCACATTCAGAGACAGCCATGCCCTCATATTTAAACTTGTAGGTGACGACGCCCTTATCTAAATAGAGGATGGAGATGGGCTCGAGCTTGGTGGGCACACAGCAGGCTTTGGAAGCCTTCTGGGAATTCTTGAGGTGGACCAAGGCCTGGATAATTGCATGCTTTGTAGGGGTGAGATGCTCTGCCAGGGGGTAGTTGCAAACACCGCGACATTCATAGGCTTCATATCCAGGCGGAGCGATGATCCAAGAGTCCCAGCCAATCTCCTTGAAGTCGATGTAGAGCGGGGTCCTCTTGCAGTAGTTTCCTTTTGCATTCCTTCTGATGCGAGCGGTGGAGTCATAGATGATATTCGACCTCATCTGCAGCAAAGCCTCTTCCCCAGGTCCATTGGAATAACCGTCCAAATCCAGATTGTCCATCTCTGGGAATTGCTCGTGGGCAATCATTTCATCCAGTTCCTCTTTCCGCTCCTTCTCACTGCTTTGGTCATCGGAAAACACGACAAGCAAAGGATCGTGCTTATTCCGGGCACTAGTGTCTATTTCCAGGTGTCCCCTGCCAAGTGTGTCCTCCGTTTCGTGTTTGCTCTCAATGTGGACCTCCAGCTGGTGGGTGGATAAGCCTGACTTTTGCCAATGCCTGATGGCATCAGTGACATCAAAAGTCTCCCACTCACTGTTGGTTCCGTAGATCTCCCCTGACACCAAGACCAGCATGCTTCTTTCCCCTTCATGGTCCTCTTTGCTCTCAAGTACTTCAAAAATGGTGATTTTCCGGTCCACTCCTTCATATATCAGGCGGTCTCTTTGCACTAGGGTGTACAACCTGAGCTCAGCCATGATGATATCTTCATGGTGAGGGATGGATACATTGAAGAGGAGAGGGTATTTTCGGAGTCCGTTAAAACTGGCTGGTTGGGAAAACAGATCTGGAAAAAACAGAAAAGAAATCAGATTTGCAGCATGTAGCAGAGAAAAACAGATGCTTATTTATGCAATAAGCACTCCTGTCCATTCTCTCCACACAGAGAGAATGAAGGAAAATCAGTGAAAACAAACACAGTGTTGGCATTCTCTAAGAGAAAGTACTGAAGGTCAAGCATTGAATGCTAGACCACCTTAAGCTGCCAAGACTAAAATGGAAACTGACCGCTTAATGAATGAGAGAAGATACACCCAGCCTTGTTCCCATAGCTTATCAGTCACAGAATTACAAAACTGGGAGGGTCCTTGGAAATTGTGCAGGCAAAACTTTTCTAACCAATGAGGAGTTATCAAATGAACTGTATGGTGGTTGTTTTTTGCTTGAAACTTTTCAGAGATGAGGTTGTCATGGCTTTTCATATTTGTACTTATGGATGGAGTCCTTCACATAGTCAGGGCCTTCCAGAACATCCATTTAGACCAGGGGTTTGTAAACCTGGTCTACAAACCAGGACCAAATTGGCCCTGCCACCTGTTTGTTTTTTAAACTTGGCTGTGGGCATATGCGGAGAAGGCACTGGCACCCCACTCCAGTCCTCTTGCCTGGAAAATCCCATGGACAGAGGAGCCTGGGAGGCTGCAGTCCATGAGGTCGCTAAGAGTCGGACACAACTGAGGGACTTCACTTTCACTTTTCACTTTCATGCATTGGAGAAGGAAATGGCAACCCACTCCAACGTTCTTGCCTGGAGAATCCCAGGGACAGGGGAGCCTGGTGGGCTTCCGTCTATGGGGTCGCACAGAGTCGGACACGACTGAAGCGATGCAGCAACAGCAGCAGCAGCAGCAGGCATATGGGATCTTAATTCCCTGACCAGGGACTGAACCCCCACTTCCTGCATTGGAGGGCAGATTCTTAACCCCTGGACCACAAGCACCACCTGTTTTTGGAAATAAAGTTAACCCTGATAGATAGGTGGTAAAGAATCTGCCTGCAATGCAGGAGACCCTGGTTTGATTCCTGGGTTGGGAAGATCCTCTGGAGAAGGGATAGGCTACCCACTCTATTATTCTTGGGCTTCCCCTGTAGCTTAGCTGGTAAAGAATCCACCTGCAGTGCAGGAGACCTGAGTTTGATCCCTGGATTGGGAAGATTCCCTGGAGAAGGAAAAGGCTATCCACTCTAGTATTCTGGCCTGGAGAATTCCATGGACTGTATAGTCCATGGGGTCACGAAGCGTTGGACACAACTGAGACTTTCACTATACTATACTACTCATTTCTGCATTATGTTTGTGGCTACTGTTGCACTACAATGGCAGAGTTAAATAGTCTTAACAGAGATAATATGGCCCACAAAACTTAAAATATTTCCTTATCTGGCCCTTTACAGGAAAAAAAAATTGCTGACCCCTGCTCTAGACACCAAAGCCTAACAAGTTCAACGAGATAGCCATAACACTAAGGGGAGTCACAGCAGTTGAATCTGGAGTGTGTGGTCCTTTGTAAGAAGGGATGGGGGAAAATGAACCTTGAGGGTGAATTGGTTGCCTTAATCTTCACTTGATTTTGTGCATATAGGAAGCATTCAGAATATTTATGAAATAAAACTTTAAAGGTCCCTTAGTTTTAGAAGCACACTTCCAGATATTATCATGTTGATTCCCTATATGAGAATTTTATAGGTGTCCAAATCTTGTACACTTGTGTGTTAGTCGCTCAGTCATGTCCCACTGTTTGCAACGCCATGGACTATAGCCCGCCAGGCTCCTCTGTCCATGGGATTTTCCAAGCAAGAATACTAGAGTGGGTTGCCATTTCCTTCTCCAGGGAATCTTCCCGATCCAGGAATCAAACCCAGGTCTCCCGCGTTGCAGACAGACACTTTACCATCTGAGCCATCAGGGGAGTACTTTGCCCCAGGTAGTACCTGTCTATGAGGAATCCCTAAAGGCATCTGTCATCAATCAAAGTGTTCCATGATGCCAAAGATGCTAAGGATAACCATCTGAGGGGGTCTCCATCATCTTTGGCAGCCTTTTCCCAATTGTATATTCAGCTCATCATTTCTGTTAGGTCCCTATGCCAGATTGTACTTTTTAATATTTAACTTGATTTTATTGTTTTCATACTAACTTTTAGACTTGTCCTAAGCAGCTCTATTCTTGAAATGAGAGGTTTGAGGTGATAGTTGTGTGGGTATTTTTTAATCCACATTAACAAAAATATCTAATGATTTTGCATGATTTAGAGCTTCCTCTGGGCACCACCCAAAATCTTCTCATACACCACCAGTGAGAACTACAGGTGAATGGAATGCATTTAGACTCTCTAGCATGGCTCTCAAAACTAGACTGTAATCAGGTCTTAATCTGTTGACCCAGTCATAGTTCCCATTCTTTGCCAGCCGCATGGAATATTGCAATTTATCAATTAATATTCTTTGAAAGATTAAACAAATCTTTTAAACAAAGTCTCTTATTTAAAGTAGACGCATGTCTTCACTACTTGCCCAAACGTTTCTTTGTTTTACTGTCTATTGCACCTTAGATATGTTCTTCTGACCCTTGAAAAGTTCTACTCCCTCTTCTCCACCTATCTAGCTGTGACCCCTCCCTATGGGACCCTCCCTTCCTCACCTCCCTATCTGGAAGTCCACTCCCTTCTAGGTAACTTGAGTACTTACTCTGTCTTTCTCTCCTTTGACCTTGCGATTCGTGTCCTTGTTTTTCAGTTGTCTTTATAAGTGGATCCTCCTAACTATTAATAGATTCACATCCTACTGTCAGGTACCACAATTTACATTCCCTTCTATGCCCCTAATCTACCATGATGGAGGTAGCTTTAAAAATATTGATGAGTTGATGATTCTGGGCATCAAACCAAATTGATTATGGGCATGATTTGTGTCCTTAATATATCAAGCAATTTGGTAGTTGTACACCTCCTCCCACCGCCACTATAGGAATGGAAGAAGCTTCACTCCCCTTGGACAGGAAACATGAGAAAACCAAAAATAGGGAAATAGACTAGTGTTCTATCCATTTAAAAAATGCACACAATAAAAGCTCACTGTTGTGGGAGGAAGTGTTTACAGAGAAGCACAAAGGAAATTTCACTGATGATGCATATGATCACACTATCTGAATGGTGATGATGGTCCCCATGGATGTTTACATAAGTCAAAACCTCTTAAATTATACACTTTAAATATATGAAGTTTATTGTATGTCAATTATGCTTCAATAGAGCTGATATAAAAAAATAAGTCCACGGTGCTTGTGCAAGTATAGTAATAGTGGTGTTATATTTCAGGCAAGGGAACTAAGGTTTGTTGAGCAAATTCCATGTGCCAGGTGCTTTGCAAACTGTTTTATCTAACTCTTACAATGACTCTGTAATGCTCGTATTGCTCCTCTGTTCATCTGATTCTGGAAGAAATCAAGCCTCAATGCAGAGAACTGACTTCTCCAAGATGAGGTCAAAGCAGTGGTAGGAAATAAAGTCATGTTTTTCCACCTTGGAAGGGGCTCTTGTTTTTCCCTGATCAGTTAGATGTAGAGGAGATTTTATTTTGTTTTGTTGGTCTTTGCCTCCTAGGGAGTGGCACTGAGCAAACGGCAGAGAATCAAAGAAAGACAATAAGAGCCAACAGAGTGAGCGCAGTGAGGGATTCATGACCTTGGGCTGTGCATTTCACCTGGGGAAGGACAGAGGTGCAGGCAGCAGGGGTGTTCACTGAGAGGTTTGCTCCCACCCTCGCTGGTCTTCAGTAACAAGAAGTTCTGAAAACATTTCCTGACCTAGAACATCCAAATCCTCCACAAAAGTGAGAACTAAAGAAAACTTTTTTCCCCAGGGGTGCAAACACTTTCCCACCCACATTCTGAGCCAGCTGTCCAGGGATCAGTAATCAGAAACATTAGGAAGGCTTCTTAGGGAAGGAGGTTGTTTATTTTCAATTCAGACTGACCCAAAATTAATCTGTAGTTTCAACTTGTCATTGTCATTATGTTACTAAATGTTATGAAGTCACATTTCCAATGTTACTAAATATTTGAAACTGGCAGTCACCTACATTTTAAACCAAATAGTTTCTCCAGGACTGAGCAATACTTATTCAATACTTCCTCCAATGCCTAGAATTTAAGGAACTCATTAGCAACAACTGGCATTCAAAACTTCATATCAATTGTGTACTTTCTTACTCATGACCTCTTTGTGAAATTGCTCAATGTGTAATACGTGTGTATGCCTGTCTGCTAAGTCACTTCAGTTGACTTCTGCTAAGTCACTTCAGTCGGACTCTTTCAAACCCTGCGGATTGTAGTTTACCAGCTCCTCTGTCCATGGGGTTCTCCAGGCAAGAATACTGGAGTGGATTGCCATGCCCTCCTCTAGGAGATCTTCCTGACACAGGGATTGAACCCATGTCTCTTAAGTCTCCTGCATTGGCAGAAGGGTTCTTTACCACTAGCGCCATTTGGGAAGCCTACTATGTAGGTATATTATTCTCAATTTACAGATGAGGAAAAAAATGGGATTCAGAGAAATTAAACTAAATATCCACATCTATTAAGTCAACCCTGTCTCAGAAATCCAAATTCTGAGCTACTACCTTTTTTGCTACTACCTGTTTGCTTTCAAGAGCATTTGGCCAACATATACCTAAACTGTCTTTTGTACCTGGCTAATGACTATAAAAGAATAATTGGTAAATATGAGAGAATTAGTTTTTTTGGACCCACAGCTTTTACCATAGATTCTAGAAAAAAAATTTTTTTTTGATTACTTGCACCATATTAAACAAAGGATTAACTTTCTAGGTCATTACATTTAGTACTGAATAAAGATCTAGAGGGATAAAACACACTTTTCCCATGGTATTTAAAGTTTGTGCGTTGTTCTTCATAAAGACACAGAATAAACTGAATCATTAATTGGGCATGCACACTTTCTGGAAATTATAAACAGTGCTTCAAGGATATACATGCATGCATGCTCAGTCGGTTCAGTCGTGTCCGACTCTTTGCAACACTATGGATTGCAGCCTGCCAGGCTCCTCTGTCCATGGGATCCTTCAGATAAGAACACTGGAGTGGGTTGCTGTGCCCTCTTCCAGGGCATCTTCCCCACCCAGGGACTGAACCCACATCACCTGCATTACAGGCAGATTCTCTACCACTGAGCCCTCAGGGATATACACATCACATCAAGCAAAACAAAAATTTAGGAAGAGTCTCTAAAATGTAAGTTTCCTTCCTGTTTGAATACTTTTTACCTCAAGTCACAAAATGAAAACTCAGTCAAAGTTTGAGTGAAACACAAATCATAACTCTGTATTTTGTCTTTTTTTTTCAACCTTTTCATTTGAAGTAGAAATTCACAAACCTGGAGTCAATTAAAAGCCAAATGGAACTGAGGCCTATCTGGAAAATGACAAAGGTGTAGTGGTAGACCAACATCAATATTTTTTATTACCTGCTGTCAAAATTGAAATTTTTCAAAGCATCAATTATGATAGTGAAATGATAAACACTTTATGGCACTGGATTAAAAAGCTATTCTTTTAGTACCTTTTAGTACTATCTGGAAAATGACCATAAAAATAGTATAGACCAAAATGTGCATTGTTTTGGAATATCTGTGTATACATACCCCTATATAGATGTCTTCACTCTTATCTGTATTATTTCCACGCATTGTAAATTTACCCACCACTTCTGAAAACTCAAAGCCAAATTTTATCGGTAAAATCTCCACTTACCTTCATTCTTGAAACTCCTGATGATGTTGGCGGACGGCATGGAGGTGCGATCTGTCGCGAATTTGTTGTAGAGCTCCAGCATGTACTCTGGTGGGTCAACCTTGGCAGAGTCCTGCGTGGGGATGTCAGACAGGTTCAATGTCTTGAGAAACTCATTCTTCATGCTCTGTAGCAGTGTGTTGAAGTCTACACCATCTTGCTCTGAGAAGACATCATCGAAGAGGGGCATGTCTTCTTCCAGGGGCGACTGCTCCAGACTCATGATAGGGTTGCCAGAAACCAAGTGAACCAGCAGGCAGGAGAGAGTGCACAGCTGCAGGACCACGGAACCCATGACTCTGCTCCAGCCCCCAGGCCAACCCAGGAAGGTTTAGCGCTCCTGGGGCTCTAAGTGGCAGTTTTATCTCGCGGAGCATAAATGTCTCGTGTCACTGGAGACAAGTTTGGAAACTTCCCCTCTCTCCCCCTCCTCCTTACCACTCTTCCTCTCCCCCCCACCAAAAAATCAGGTTGCAGTAATTGGATAACAAATCCCCCATAGGGGCCTAGCCTTTCTTATCTCCCTAGTGTAAACTGCGCACCAGATTTTGTTTCTATCTTGCAATCCTTTTTTCTTTTAATGAGCATTTTGTAAACATTTCCACATTCTGACACTGGCTAAGAGATAGGACAATTTTCTCCTCGCAAAGGCTCTGCTTCTCCTTTTAATTCACTTCCTTTTGGCAGGAATGCCTGAATTCTGCTTTTACATGGTTTGGTTTCACACATGCATAAAATAGACATTAAGAATCTACAGGATACACATCAATGGTGATACGTATTAATGCAAGTGATGGAGTTTCATCCTCACATAAGCTTTTCTGAAGAAAGACAAAATAGCCAACATTTCCAAGTTAAGTTAATACATATGAATGATCTTACATGAATCGTTGGAAGCTGACATTATTAGAAATGGGAAAGTATAAACTTCACGGGCAATAGCCTTTTTCGTACAGATTTGATCTGGCTAAAATGGCTTTGGGAAAATAAGGCAAGTGCTTCATTATGACAGCAACTAAAATTTATTAGGTGCTTTCCTACGAAGAGGCATTGTACTAAGTGCTTTGCATATATCACTGAATGTGCTTCCTATAATAACCCTACTATTATCCCCATGGCCTATATGGGTCACTAAGCTTCGATAAGTTGCCAGAAGTCACAAAGCTACAAAGTGATAGAGCCAGGATTTGAATCCAGGCAGGCTGACTCTTATGTAACAAGAAAACAATCAGACCATTTAACCATGTTTCCCCTAGTCTGGGCAGAGGCAGTTTAGCCAGGCCAGGCCAGCCTTCCCCAGGGAGTCCACAGTCAGGAGAAGGCAGGTGACCGTTTGCAGCTGGATGTGGTGCTCAGGTCCTTCACCTGTGTGACAAGTTACTAAAAAGACCACAATCTCTGCCCAATCCATCCTTATGGTTAAATCAAATGACCATCAAACAGTTCAAGTAAAAGCTTGCAAACAAAGGTGAAAAGTGCCAATTGCCTTGGTCTGAAAAACAGTGGGGGAATTGATTGTGTGTCTGCTTTAGGGAAAGAGAAGTGAAAGTCATCCCAGTTTTCAACCCTAATTAGTGGTGGGAGCAGCATGCAGCCATCAGGGTAATTCTGCAGACACTCCCCTGGGGTTGCTTTTTCTGCTGAGGCACTGGGGCTGGTGTCTCTCTGACCTGTTCAGGGCATGCCTTGGTTCAGGGGTTTCTGCATCTATGTATTCAGTGCCCTCAAATAGACTTAGTTTCTGAGTTACATTTTCCTACATTTCCCCCAATAACTAGAGCATCTCTCCTTTTTTCCCTCTAGGTTCCCTATGTTTTATTATCATCTTTTAATTCTTCCCCCTCTTAAAAATGCAAATTTTTATAGCAGTTTTTTTGAACTATCAGAGATAAGGTCTGTATTTTGAGGGGATAAAAAAAAAAATCCCTCCACAAAATCAGTCATCTCTTTAATAGTTGTAGATTTGATTCAATGCTCTGCCCCTCCATTAAAAAGACAATCGTAGACTGAAAATAGATTGGAACATGAACAGGTCCACAAGTGAGTGAGTCCAAGGGCCGTATTCCATCCCACGGGCTTTACTGTCAGGCTCCTGACAGCATACCAGCAGGGCCCCTATATGACACTCTGCATTGAAACCAGCGCCCGTTTATCTTCACACACACACACAAATGTCAGCGCACACTCCAAAACTCTGAATGGCAGGCATGTGCGTCTAACCACCACAGGACAGCCGAGTAAGTGGTGGTACTTATAACCCGGGTGCGCTGGTTTCAGATGTCAGGAGGAGAGACAGGCCTCCTGCCTTGCAGAGTTCTGGTTCTGAACATTCTCAGGGCTAAGGTGTGCAACTGAGATTTCACTGGCTTCCCTGTACTCCGTGTTAGAGTATCAGTGGGGTTAAATATTTGGACCCACTTCCCCATCACAAATGTCTAACTTTGGGATTGATTTGAAGATAGAAGTGAGCCTTTGCCTGGTGGCTCAGATGGCAAAGAGTCTTCTTGCAATGCAGGAGACCTGGGTTTGATCCCTAGGTTGGGAAGATCCCCTAGAGAAGGGAGTGGCTCCAGTTTCCTTGCTCGGAGAATCCCCATGGACAGAGGAACCTGATGGGCTACAGTCCAGGGGGTCGGACATGACTGAGCAACTAACACACACTAAGGTAGAACAGGAAAATATCTACAACCACATCTCAATGCCTATGACTTCTTGGAATGCAAGGTCCTTATGCTTCTCACCTGTTCTGGGTAGATAAGGCAGAAGATTGGACTTCAGGCATGAAAGAAGCATACACAACTTCCTCCCTCTTCTAGGCATCTTACATTTTAGCTACAGAGTCTCTTTATTACCACAGTTTTCTCGGGCTTTTCCTGGTGACTCTCCAATGACTCTGAAAAGTCAAATATCTCCACATTCCTTTTATTTTTTTTAATTTTGATTGCAGTGTAGTTGCTTTACAATTCTGTGTTACTTTTTGCCACACAGCAAAGTGATTCAGCCATACATATACATATATCCCCTCTTTTTTGGATTTCCTTCCCTTTTCAGGTCACCACAGAGCACTGAGCAGAGCTTGCTGTGCCTTGCGGCAGGTTCTCATCAGTTAGCTGTTTTATACATAATAGTGTGTATATGTTAGCCCCAATATCCCAATTCATCCCACCTCACCTCTTACCCCACTTAGTGTCCATATATTTGTTCTCTATGTCTGTGTCTCTATTTCTGCTTCGCAAATAGGTCTATCTGTACCATTTTTCTAGATTCCTTATATGTGTTAATACATAATATCTGTTTTTTTCTTTCTGACTTATTTCACTTCTGTACACATAGTCTCTTCTATTAGTTTACAGGTATGATAATAAAATTGCTTAGGAAGAAACATATATAACTGTTCCCAGACAATTAAAAGAGATACTAACAGGATCCCAGGGGCCCAAACTTCACCTCTTGAGCTCTGAATCCTGGGGAGATTGGGGTGTAGTGCTGAGGAAGGAACTTGGGCAGCAGCTATCTACCAACCGGTGTGGGACTATGATGATAAATTTCAGCATGACATAGTACTGCTATCCCATGTATAACAGGTGAATCTAAGTTCTGCTGAAAATTCCTCAGCCAGAGCTCTGAAAATTAAATGCTGTTGTTAAAACTTGCAAGGTCAACATGAGGATGACAGCTTGCTCTGTTCACTTCCATGGGCACTACTAAATCTACTCTCTGGCTACCTTTTTTTCTCCCTCCCAGATGATGCCTATTGTACCAGATGTAGGAATTCACTGAGCGGGCATCGGGTGCCTCTGTTCCCAGGGTGGGTTTTTCTCTTTTGATGTGGTCTGCCCAGGGCTTCCTTCTAAGATTAGAAGTTGCCTTGGCTGTGGTATTTCTCATTAACTGCATAGGCCATAGTCCACCTTCCAGTAGGAGATGTTTATTTACCCTTACCTCTACTGACCCCTCAACAGTTAGATGGCTGCTGACCCAAGGCTTACCACTGTGCCAAGTGCTTGTCATGCCCTAACACACAGGGGCCAGTGCCTCAACTCAACTTTTTGATGTAGGGTATTTCAATGTAGGGTCTTAGGTCCTTCCTTCAATAACCTTCCACCTGATCCCTTCACTCTCCAATGAGACCTAGAATGTGAATCATCGTCAATAATTGTTAGCAATTTTAAAAAGTGCAAACCTTTGTAATAGTCTTCCATTCAACAATTTCTTGCATGTACCTACTATGTGCCAGGTATGGTTCAAAAACAAAACCTGAAGGAAACGTACCAAACCCCTGACCTTGTAGAGCTTACTTTTCAGTTGGAGGGAGAGAGACAAATACACAAATCAAGCAAAGTGCCTGTTGGGTGGTGATAAGCAAAATGGCAAAACCAAACTGAAGCCAAAGGATATGAAGAAGATCCAAGGGGGACGGGGACCGCTGTCTCACTCTTAAGGCCTTACTGGTGGAGGTGAGGGAGTCAGTCGGGTGCGCCCAGGTAGCCCATGGAGCACACACAAGGGGACTGCATGTAGAGGGAACAGCTCATGCAAAGGCTCTGAAGAAACAGGATGCTTGGGAGGCTTAAGCATCAGGTCAAGATGGCCATAGGAAGCCAGGCCAGGGGGAGCTGTATGATAAGGCCAAAAGGAAATGGGCTGGACCAATTAGAAAGTCATAGATTTTTTTTTTAATAGTCATACTGTGCAAATACACAACTTGCCTCTTGTTTTTATTTTTCACTGACCGCTTCATCTTAAGTGTTTTTCACATTGGCATATACTGTTTACAACCATTCATTATAATAATTGCATAATTCCATTGGGTAGAATTTCCATAACCTGCAAGAGGATTTTTAAAGTAGCAAAGGAAAATTTACAATTTTTTTAAAGTGTAAAAACATTGGACATTTAGGTTTCAAAACACAACTGCCAACATATTCCAAGATTGAGAGCAGTCGTTCATTTATTTGCTTACCTGGAATGTAGGTCCAAGAAAAATGCAGAGTACTTAAATCACATTTTTTTCTTCATAGAATACCACCAGTCTCAGAAATACTTGGAGACCACCTGTGCCACATTGCCTCTTGCCTGGATTATGGTAGCAGGCTACCAGCTGCTTCTGCCCTCAACTCTTAATCTGTTCTCACTATGATAACCAGATCCTGATATGATATTGTATCATCACTCCTTTCCTCATTCGGATAAAAAGACAAAGTCTCACAAAAGTCCTCATGACCCTCCACTGCTGCTCTGACGTCATTGTTACTTGCTAACTCCACCCTGGGGCCAATGGTCTTCTTGCTATTC